AGAGAGTATAAGCAATAACAGGAAGGAACAAGGGGTTTTGCTGGTTGAGATAAGGATAGCTATACAGGGCATTGACTCACATTGATTTCCTGTGCGTGGGTGTTACCTTCTAGGTTAATTCTTTTTGATCTAACCTTTTCTCTAGTTCCTGGTCCCCTTTTCCTATTGGCCTCAGTTGCTTTAAGGTATCTGCTTTAGTTTCTCTGCATTAAGGGCAACAAATGCTAGCTAGTTTTTTAGGTGTTTTACCTATCCTCACCCCTCCCTTGTGTGCTCTCGCTTTTATCATGTGCTCATAGTCCAATCCCCTTGTTTTCACCAGGCTTTTAACCTTTTTGAATTTCAGTTCTGTCATCTGGAAAATGATGCTCACACCCTTCCTCAAACTCATAAACTGCTTAAAATTCAAATTAATTAATAACTGTCAAAGGATGTTCTAAACTTTAAAATGCTTCTTAAATGTAAAATGTTACTGTTTTCTGGGCCTCAATTTACAATTTTCTAAAAGTCTTATGTGTACTTTCTTATTTGACTCATAAGTTTTGAACATACATAAGAATAAAGTGTAAAAATCTTTTTTTTAAAAAAAGATTCTTTGATCTTGACTCCAGATTATAGTTATACTCAGTGATAAAACTCTGAAAGAAAAACATTTAACATTTGTCAATTTACATGATGAAAATATTCTCAATATGTTCAATTTCAAGGATAGCTGTGTTTAACAACCAGCTTAAAATATTCCTGAAAATTTAGAAATCATTTCTCATGAGCAGCTGTAAGCTTCTAGCACACCATTGCTTTACATTCAGGGTTCAACAATCCATTTCCAAAACTATTTCTTAAAACTGAGATTTTCCCCTTGAAATGTTAAACTGAAATGTATTATGTTTCTTCTACACCACTCTCAGTCACACTTCTCGTGGTGCTAATTAGTAAACCTGGACCCTCTGGCTATCACTTTTCTCTTCACAGCATCATCTATATAGGAATCCCCCTACCTTTCTTTATTATTATTATTATTATTATTATTATTATTATTTGTATCAGGTGTGCATTATGACATTTGCAAAAGTTCTTACAATTCCCCCTATCTCTCAAAAACATCTTTTCTGCAAAATTTCAGCCCAGAGACAATTTAACAACTTGCCATATCTCTTACAGCATCAACATCAGAATGTTGACAAACTCTGAGAGAATCTCACAACCCATGAATTGTTGTAACAACAAATTTATGATGTCCAACATCAAATGTCACCTCTAGCTTTGCTAGAAATTCCTGTCACATGACCTTTCTTTGTATTCTTTTTCATAGCTTATAAAAACCTTTACTACCCTCCTCCACTTCACTACCATATTGTAATCTTTGTTTTATGAGTTTTCCTTGTCCTTGCAGACAACTATAGAGGAGATTGAGAAAATAGAGTATGACTTCCCCAAAGTTTCATTTCTACATCAAACACTTGGTCTTTTTTGAAAAGACTTTCACTCTCTATTCTTGAATTTCTGAACAGAACTCATCCTTTCTCATTCTGAAGAGCCTCTCTTTCTGTTCTCTTGACTGTGTTACCTTCTTTATCTTATGGGACATTATTGCTTCATTCATTCTCCTCTTGATAAATGTGCAATCCCATTCTTGCAATCTTCCCTTTTCCTAGCAATTTATAAATATTTTAAGTGTATCTTATTAAATACCAATGAAGTCCTACCCAGAAATAGGACTATTTTTACATGGCAAAATCTTCTCATTTTTTCCAATCTCTCTGTTCCTATTTTCATTGAAGTTCCTTGAAATAATAGTTTATTTTCTTGCTCACTTTGACTATTCTTTCAGGTTCTTATTATAAAATCAATAAAAATACAGAGTTTTTTCTAATTTAAGTATAAAGACATATAAAATCACATCAACCAATAATATTGTCGGTTGCTTTATAATTGGCATTTTAGCATATTAGCCTTCTAGTTTGATTGTTAAATATCTCTGTGTTTTCAATAGAGGAATTATTTTGTAGAGTTTTATTGCACTTTCTTCACTTATCATTATAACACAGGTATCGTTCAATTATATGAACTCTCATTTAAAATTGGATTTTTAATGATTGCATTCTATTGTAGTGAATATATTAATCCTAATTTATTCAACCATTCCTCTGTCCCACTTATTAAACAATCCATAAAACCAATCTTTAACCTCAAGTACTTCATTTAGAAATGACATTCTACTTGCCAATTTCAATGGCCTCATTTCTTTTTCCATCTTACTTGGGTTATCTAAAATGTCAGTTGGTAATACACTACCTTTTCCCCAAATCATTTACCTTACTCTTCATATCACATATTTTAAAAATCAGTTCTGTGCAGTTTTTCTCTACCCACTTTCCTCAGTAAATTTTGCTTGCCATTTTCTACACAAAAGGCTCCATTCTTTCCACTTTGTTCTTGAGCATTTTTCATCCACACCATATCTTTAAGAAAATTCATCTATAAAAAGTCTGAATTTTTAGAATAATGTTTTTATTTTCTTAATGATTTGTTTTACAATATCTGTGATATTGTTTTACAATACCACAGATAAGAAAGCTTCCTGTACCGCTTTATGTTTTGGAGACTCAATGTGTCTGGATTATACCATTGAGAAAGGATCATATAGTGTGACTGGGTCCATTCTTTCCACTTTGTTCTTGAGCATTTTTCATCCACACCATATCTTTAAGAAAATTCGTCTATAAAAAGTCTGAATTTTTAGAATAATGTTTTTATTTTCTTAATGATTTGTTTTACAATATCTGTGATATTGTTTTACAATACCACAGATAAGAAAGCTTCCTGTACCGCTTTATGTTTTGGAGACTCAATGTGTCTGGATTATACCATTGAGAAAGGACCATATAGTGTGACTGGGTCCCACGTGACAGAATCAGCTTCAATAGACAGACGAATATAGTCTTGGGATTCCAAAGTGAAGGAGGGATATCTTAATATGTTTGATTCAGCAAGGAGCATTATTTTCAGTAGGTGGAGAAAAATACAAATTCAAAAACCCAATCACTAATTTATAAAGCTGTAGCCTAAAGATGTGTTTCATTTTTTAAAATCCTATTCTACAAGAAAATGTTTGACTTACAAAATGAAGTTGGTTATAAATCATGTGGCCATGAAACCTACAATGTATTAAAATCATTCTGCTTTCCCTTCTCTGGGTCAGCATGCAGCAGAGGAGCATAATATCTAACTTTCCTGGTAGCTTTCATGGCAGATATTAATCATATCACCACATCATTCTCAGAGGTAGAAAGACTCAGAGTTCCATAAGATTGGCTTTTTTTTCCACAGTGTACACAGGCCAAGTATTAGAAACAAACAACTTCATAACACAGAATGCTTTCTGTTACAGGTAAAATCCCAAGACAACCAGTTCTGCTATCAAGAGGATTTTATAACAAAACTGTTCTCTGATCTGGTATTTGGTCATAACAGCATTTTGTTAACTGACTAAGGAATGTTCTTTGATCCCAGGTCCTACAAGTCAATTTGTTTAACAAAAGTAGCTGATGGAATATTGGTTATACTATAGGTGGAGCAGGAGGAACAGAATTTCATACTTTATATAATTCTAGCACTTTCACCATTTATACACTGGATCATCATTTTTATATCTCATTGGATCTTCATCTTAAATTTGAGAAGCATGTTAGAGCAATACTTACAATCTTCATTAAGCAGACTGAGAAACTGAACAGATTTGCTAAATTACAGTCAAAACTCAAGCCCTTTACTCCCAGCTCAAAAAGTATTGTTATTAATATTTCTTTTGATTTGTTATTAAATAGCAGTTACTTGTTCCTCTGATTCATTCTAACTTATATACCTCACTCAAGTGCATTTTTCTTCGGAGAAAAGGGCAGAACAAGAGTAAACACAGCAGCACGCTTTCTTTCCCAGTGGGTTTTCAACCTTTTACTTGCTGTGCCTCAGTTGTTTCTCTTCCATGACACATACCCCAAAATTTGATTTCTAACAAGACACTCAAAAACAAAAATTCACTCAATGAAGCAAATTGGAAGTACAGAGGAAAAAGGAGCCACAGTAGTTTAGAAATTACTTTCAACAGTAGATCATAGTTTCCTTCATGAACAAAAGGAGAATAAAAACACTGGTCTCAAAGGGTTACTAAATATCATTACTGCCTCCCAGGTGCCCTGGTCAGAAACCCGAGGCTCTTTCCTGGTGTCTTTCTCCTTCCTTTTCTGGCTATGTCCCAAAGACACACAGAGCTGTTGATGCTTCTGGGTTTATGCTGTGGAAAGCTCTGTAATCTAGCCTTTCTTTTCTATCTCCATTAATTCTTTTTTAGTTTCGACTCTTACTGCTTTACAGGCAGTAACAGTTATATATATCCTGTTTCCAGTATTAACTATTTTAATTTTATTACACTTGTAGAGAATGAGTTTCAGTGATGGGTATGACAGACAGAATATCTACATTTCTACTTTTCAATATACTCTTAATGTCTTTGAATACTTCAGGTAGACAGCTTCAGTTAGGTACAGGTAATTCTCTTGGATTCTTTATACACCTACTTAGAGATATTATTCATTAATAACAGGAACCAATGGAAGGTACAAATGGGACCTATCAGGCTTCAGGAAAGAAAGCCAAGCTCACACTTACCAGGGAATTACATCTAAAAATGGTGAATATGAAATGATAAATTCTAAATTAGCACACACAAAGAATGTGCTCTTACAACTATGTTTTCCCCAGTGGAAAAGATCATTCCAGTTATGGAGATTCAATCAATGAAGATTTCTATTGAGTGTCAAATAAAGGTATTTCACTAAAACCATTTCAAATGAACTTTGAGTTGCAGTTCACTATACTAAGAAACTCTCTAAGATGCTCCTTCTGCAATAAAATTCAAGAATCTTATTGGCTCCAAAGCCCCTTGAAAATATTACTCCTATAAGTTAGTAGAAAATTTAAAGTTTAAAAAGTATACTTACACCAAAGTTGGTTGCAGCAAACCGATCAGAGGCAGAAACCTGTACATTTGTTGAAACTGTGGTATGGGCATAAAAAGCATTTATATTAGCCAGCAAAGTGCTCATGACAGCAGGGACACCAGGGCACATGTATTTAGAAGACAGGCATGAAAAGTGTCTGCAAGACAAAAAAACATAAAGTACTTTAAAGACAGAAGCTAATGAACTGACATAATGGTATATATTCTAGTGCCTGAAATTAAATACATCTATGAGAAGGGGTGAAAACGCCCACAATCTCTAATTGAACATTTTCAGCCTTTTGAAAATTTCTCATTCACAAGTGTGAGGTGGCTTAATTAGACTGTGCCTTGTCACAGGGTTGTGAGAGTTTCTTTCAACTGTGAGAATACTGTGTGCACAAAGCAAAAGTGAAATTTCCAATGGAATTTCTCTCTGTGGGAAAGCAATGATTCAGGAGTTCCCCTTCCTTCCCCCAACAGTGCTCTCACTTATTTCAGTTTCTGAAATGCTTTATCTAACCAAAATGTTCTCTTACAATTGCATTTCTTTTGCATTGAATCAGAGCAAAAGGCATTCCTCTCATTACACATTGATTGAACCAGTCAACTTCTGACTTGAGTCATTTGTGATCTTTTTAAAAGAAAGGAAAACCTTCCATAAGCAATTATGTTTTCTAAGAACTTTGTCACAGGCAGAATTTAATTAGACAAACAGATGAATAGTGAGGAGAGAATGAATCATGCCAGCTTTATGCTTAAAGACTTTCTTTTTAAATCTTGAATAATAGTATCATTTATAACATCAAAAACATCAAGTGTTCAATTCTGTGACTTCTCTCAAGAAAATCTGTTCATGTGAGCTATAACAAAAGATTTGGAAACTGAAAGCACAGCTTATGATAAACATGAAAGATAAAATATGCATAGAGGGAAGAATGTTCAATATACATAGTCCAATCCTCTTGTGCTCTCATATATTAGTAATTTATCCCCTATCTAGGCATCTCTGCATTTTGTAATACTGATCACTGACACAGAATGTATATACATAATAAATAAGTGCCCCAATGGCACACACAGAATAAATGAAATCCTGAAAATATTTGCCCTTCCCTTTCCCCTTTCTTTCTTTTCCCTTCTTTTCTTTCTTGGTGGTCTTGGGATTTGATCTAAGGGTCTCACATTTGCTAGGCAGGCATTCTACCACTTGAACTATGCCCTCAACCCTTTTTTGCTTTTAGTTATTTTTCAGGTAGAGTCTCATGTTTTTGCAGGGGGTTATCATCAGACTGTGGTACTCCTGCCTACAGTGTCCTGGATAGCTGTGATCACAGGGGCATGTCACCATGCTTGGGTTATTAACTGAGATGGAGCGCTTGCTAAGTATTTGCCCAGGCTAGCAAGATCTTCCCAATCTTTATCTCCTGAGTGAGTCTATTAAAGGCATGTGCCATAACATCTAGCTGTGACTTTTCTTAGATCTTAGGCTAGTTTGCCACCTCACTTTTCACGATACTAGCTAATGGAAGCAGGTTGTTTTTAAATAAGGATCTTTGAGAAATAAGAATAAGTTTATGCCATGAAAGTTACGTGATGGAAGTAATTTAACCCTGAGTTAGATAGCAATTGGTGATTGCTTCTTTAGGATAAATGATATATATTTAACTAATATTCACTTAACTTTAAATAATTAATATCTGTTAAGAATACCAAAAATAATATGAAGCTATTTTTAAAAGAAATTTAAAAACCCTAGGGCTAAGCCATCACAGTCCTTGTGTTTTTTTTTTCTCAATGATTCACATGTAATTAGACTTTTTTAGACTGAAATCAAAGTAAAGAGTTATAAAGAATACAATGCCTAAGTATAATGATTTGGGAGGTGGCAAAGGAAAAAATATTTATATACATAGTAGGCAAAAGACATTAATGACATCATAGGCAACTGTCAAAATAAACTGCTAAGAAACTCAAAAGCTGGAAGTTTATCACCTGAAATGCAGGAAATCAGAATGAACAGTTTTGTCCTTAGTTAAAAAAAAAAAAAAGATCAGTGCCCTCATAATGCAGCCATGTTACTCAGTTTTTAATTTTTTTAGCTGCTACTAGCAAGATTTGGTACTTAAGGAGGCAACAACACCTTAGAGTTACTTCAAGCATAAATCATGGAGAAACAGATTATTTAAGCGACTCATGGAATAATTTTTGTAAGTTATACAGAATGGTATAATTGTTGAACACTGCTTGCTTCTTACAAACCATCTGAGAGATAATGAATGCAGTACAGGAAGACTGGAGTTATAAAAAAAAGTATTGTGTCCAATTAATTCAATATCTTTTTTAATTTTGCTTTTTCAATTTTTAAATTGGACAGATAAATTTGTATATATTTATCATTTACAGTAAGATATTTTTAAATACATTGATGATGAAAATGCCTTAAGACATTTGTGATTTTGGAATCCCAGAGGAGTTTTACAAACAAAATGGGAAAACCAGGAAACTAGAATCAGTGAAATAAGGAGTTTGAAGGGGGAAAAATGATTGATGATAAATGTAGAATAAGAATCTTTAAAATGACGACAGAAATTATTGGACTTGACAAACATCATGGTGACCTTAGCTAGATCAATGTTAGTAAAGAGACAGTTTTCACTAAGAGGGAATAAGAAAAGTGAGGTAGTGCCAAGAGACAGCCAAAGTAAAATAAGTCAAGGCTAGATATGGATTGGTAATTAGTTAAGAAGTTTTGACTTTCTCATGTGAACTACAGAAAATTAACTGATGTTTCTGTTGAGGGAAGTAGTATTACAAATGAATTTGGAAAAATGACTCTGAGGTAGCTGGATTGGAGTGAGTAAGCATTAGAAGCAGAAAATTAATTTGGGAGATGGAAATGCAGATAATACTTCTCTGCTTCCAACTCAGCTAAAGTCTTCATATACTACAGTTAGAAGGAAGAACAAAGTACTGTGCAGCCCAAATAATTCAATGACCACAGAATTATACTGTCTGTTCTTGATCTCCAGAATATAAGACCTTGCGTATGTCTCTAGTACATAACCGTTCTCAAAAATAGTTTAAACCTGATTTTGACCATGTTATAACTGAAAATTTATTATGCCCTCAAACAGGTGAAAAACAGGTGCGAAATCTGCTGTTCCCATAATGAGCAGCATGAAAACAGCTGTTAACTAAGTAACCTTACAAATTTCAGGTTTTTCTTTAAATACTTGGCTGTTCATCAAGTATTCTATATCAAGTATGGTGAAATGTTTTTACCATAAATAAATTCTTATCATTTCTTTATGGAGGAGGCATTTAAAATCCTAATGCTAACGTTTTGAAAATAGACTGTGTTTCACTATCTGTAGACATCCTACAGTGCAATAGCGTGCTAGAATTTCTGCTATCTAACTATAACTTAGTACTTATCACTCTTCCCTAGCTGTCTCTCAACTTCTATGAAATCAACATTTTAATATTCAACTTATGAATAGATCATGAGGTACTTGACCTTCCATGCCTGCCATATTTCACTTAGCATAATGATCTCCAGTTCTGACCATGTTGTCACAAATGACAGGTTATCTTTCTTTTTATAGCTGAATATTATTCCTGGTGTATGTGTACCATGGTTCCTTCATTCACTCACCAGTTGATGGACACTTAGGTTGCTTCCATTTTTAGGTTATTGTGAACAACAATGCAATGAACATAGGAGTTTAGAGGTCTCTCTGATACCCTAGTTTCATTTCTTTTGATAAATACCAAGTAATGGTATTACTGGGACATATGATAGTTCTATTTTTATTTTGGAGGCAACCTACATACTGTTTTCTATAGTGGCTGTAATATTTTGCTTTCCATCTTTATTTTTAATTAACAAATTCAAATTATATATACTTGTAACATACATTTTTTGAAATATATATAAGGATATGTGCATGTGTGTGTGTGTGTATACACATTGTGGAATGGCCCATTCAAGACAGTATATCCATTCTTTCACATTCTTACCACTTTTGCTTGGTGAGAGCACTTAAAATCTACACTCAGCTATTTTCAAAAGAACAGTGCATCATTATTTATTATCATCACCATGTTGTATAATATATTTATTTAACTTATTTCTATATCTACTTGGAATTTTGTATCCTTTGACCAACATCTCCACAACCCTCCCACATCCCTTATAACCACCATTTACTTTCATGAGTTCAACTTTTTTGATTCTACATATTAATGAGATTGTGCAGTATTTATCTTTTGGTGCCCAGTTCATTTCACTTAACACAATCTCCCCTAGATTCAACCAAGTTGTCATAAATGACAGAATTTCATTAAGGTTAAATAATATTACATGGTAATATGTACTATATTATTTTATTACTGTAGGATGAATGACACAGGTGGGTTCTATATCTTGATTAATGAGAACATTGCCTGCCACAGTGAACACAGCACGCAGCTATCTCTTCAATATTCTGGTTGCATTTCCTTCTACCTCCCTCTCTCTTCAATGTGGTGTATTACATAGGTATCTGTTTCTTCTGGTTTGGTTCATGCTTGCTGTCCTTTTATCCAGATTATATTTAGCAGAATGATTTTCTGCACCCAGAAATTGACCAATAAGTTTTTCTTAATGAAAATAAAACAATATGAGTCAAAGGTATTTATATATTGTTAAAGAGTATAGGACATGTGCTCAGTTACCTTGAGTAAGACAGTTTATCACAATATCCAATTACTTTGTAAACACTTTGTTAAAGTACATAGCAGGTAATGCTATAATGATTATGGCTACTTTGAAGGTTAATAGTACTCTACTTATCATGTGTATGCTGAGAGCAGTATTTTGAATTTTCCAGAACATTAGCCTTGCATCCATCTTAGAGAACTGACAGAAATATGTTATTCCTGATTAATATTTAACTGAGGTGATTTCTGGGTGTCATGGGAGGTAGCTAGCTGCACATGAATCACTCTTCAATGTCTCCCATGGAAAATTTAAAAAAGAACAAACCAAAAATGATGTCAAATGATAACAACACTGGAAATGGGAGGTACCAATCAATTATTTCCTAGAATCTGGGAGGAATTTCACTAATTTGAGGGCAGCTTGGTAGACTGAGAAGTATCAATGACTGGCTAG